AAATATAAAAATTATCGACATTATTTCATATAATTATAATTATAATTCATTAGTTTTAGAAATCACATAAAGTAGATTCTCCCTAATTGACGCTCAGATTGTGAACAAAAAAGGATAATTTGGGAAGAGAAGATGCCCATACAATTGCTAAGAGTTCCTCTTCTGTTGCTGTATAATTATTTTCGGGTGAATTTAACGTACGGGAAATATGTCAACAAAAATGTCCATTAGGTGCACCTAATCCGCCATTTGGAGCGTCTGGCAGTTAAAAACGAGGTTTCTGAATAATTTGGATATTGTAACACGGATTGTTTACAAAGTTTACTTCTTAATTCATCGAAACTAATCTGTTGTTTATCTGTCCAGCGGAACGGTACTTCTTTTTTTTGTTAATTCTACGAGAGGTTCAGCTATTTTAGAGAAGTTCCACATTAATTTCGTATAATATCCTGCTAATCCATGGAACGATTTTATGCCTGGAATTTGAATTTCATAGGAATTTTGAAGTTTCTGACGGCCTTTAATTTCTCTCGATTAGGTTTTATCCCTTCTTTCGATATAACACATCCTAAATACTCTAATCCTGGCCTAAGTATTTCACATTTGTCCGGTTGTAATTTTAATCCTGTGTCTCGAAATCTGAAATATTACAGCAAGATTTTCGTCATGTTCTTGAATTGTTGAAATCAAAATTACGATATCATCTAAATAAGCAAAGCAATATCTTCCAAATAAGTCCATCGAGTGTTCTGTCCATCGCTCGTTGGAACGTAGCTGGGGCATTCTTTGAACCAAACGGCATGCGTTTATATTGAAAGTGTCCGTCAGGAGTAGAAAATGCGGTTTACAGTAAATTCTCTCTAATTCGCGGTCAGATTGCGCACAAAAATGAGCGATCTGGGAAGAGGAGATACGATTATTCGAGCCTTTCGCCTCGTTTTTATGATCGTCGACAATCGGTAACTATAAAAACGAGCCGCGAGGCTCGAACAAGCGTATCTTCCCTTCCCAAATTCGCCATTCTTGTGCGATGTGTATGTGAAATGTATATCAAATATTTCATAAATACCGCAGATCAAACAATGCGGCTTCCGCCCCGTGCCGAATAAACATTGCGCGGAAATGGATCGGAGTCAGTGAACAAAAGCGAACATTCCGCTGACGAACGTACCCTTATCGTCATGTTGACGATGCCGCTAAGCAGGCTTAGACACGCAGTGATCGCGCTGATTTCGGTGATGTGTAGCCGGATAAAGTTGATCATGGCGCAGAAATCCAAGCAGTAGCCCAGTATCCAAAAGAATGGGAGATACCTGCTAACGATACTCCGTTCATAAGGGTACAAGCCGCACATGAGAAGGCTTCGTTTCACGAAGCTAACGTATTCCCGGTACAACGGTAACTCCTTCGGCATCGTTCAACTTGTCCGAACAATTGTATCGCAATCGATAAAGACTCATCGGCGAACTTTTTTAAAATGGACCTAATTCGCGTTAACCACGGTTATCGCCGTCGTTCTACGTCCTTGATTACGCGCGGATCGATCGGGGCTCGACCAATCCTTCACCCTTCAATTTGGTTAAACTGCTCGCAGGGTCGAATAATTCATTAGGCTGGGCGCGTTTCGTTGCTTTGTAAATTAGACGTTGCAGAGCGTCAGCGGACGCGCACGGGGAACTTAAACGATTTGAACTTCATGGGATTTTTATAAAACGAACGTCCGATGCCGTACTTTGCCGGTTAAACGGTTTGAACTTAATGGGATTTTTATTAAACGACTGTCGGGCGCTGTGCCGCTAACGATTCTTCGCAGACGGGAAAAAAGTTTCGCGCGATGTGCGTGGACGGGGTCGTCTGAAATTGTTCTCGGGACTCGGTGAATAGCTTGTGAAGGTTGCAACGTGCAGGTATTGCTTCGACTGTTTCATTCGGCTAACACGTTCGCCACGGTATATTTCAGCTACGCAAGTAGCCGAGTAAACGAGTGAGTGTTTCGCGAAAAATTTCATCAAAATTTATAATGGTTTTAACAACTGCTGTGGAAATGTAGCTGAGCTAACTGACGCTGATACAAAAAATAAGGACCCTGCCATTAAATCATTTCTGGACAAAGAAAAGATTATTACTGGATCAAAATAAGTTAGTGTTATTTATTTTCTGTACAATGAAAGATCAAGTCTCTTTCACTGCGATTCCCTATGATTGATTAATTTTGCAAGCTGCAAAATTCTCCATAGTTCTCATTCACATTATCGTCAAGCGTCGCCAACAAGAAGTATAGTCCTCGCGAGACAAGAAGTACCTCTGCGTTTATTGTATTCCCCTTCTTACTGGCTGCCCCAGCGCTACAGCTAGTAACAGGGAGAATGTAAACACAAAGGTGCCTTCTTGTCGCTGCTTAAAAGATATTTAAATTTTAGTATCGTTTAGAGACAAAGTAAAAATCTTTGCATTCAGGCTGAAGGTCGTATTTTCGAACACCAACTTTATATAGGCGAGTGCACAAACACTATGCATTATTAAAATTAAAATATCTACTAAACAAATGATTTTTCACATAAATGGCTTAGTACTTTTATGAAGGAAATACCGCGCTGAATCGACTGATATAATAAAAAATATATGAGTCCATTAAAAAAATAAAGTTGGCCTTTATATGTCCCCGACGCGTTCACCTAGAAAAATGTGATCAATATCACAAGTGTACAAGATATTTGACTGGATCGATTTAAATGTGGGTCGTCCAGTATGAAAAGATTTGTTCATGAATCAGTTGAATGGTGATTAGAAGTTATAAAATAGCGCGATTTCAATGGCTAACGAAATTTTAAGATTAGTCGATCAGAGAATCTAAGACGCCAGCATTATCAGACAAATTGTTCGCTGGCTAAAATCTCGTCAACCATTCAGTTTCAGAACATTATAGCATAATACGGTCCAACATAAAATTTAAAATTCTTTTAATATACGACGTGAATTTTTGTATTTAAAATTTTTTAATTAGTTGCATAATTTATGTTATTTCAGATATGACAATTATTTGATTCACACTGTGACATCTGCGAAACCGTCAATGATATTAAAGAATGATTCAAACAAAATTTACTTGGTTTTTGGGGGCACCTAATCTGATGTTAATAAGACTTTTCTATGTGGACGCGTCGAGGACATATGAATTCATAAAAATTCTAAGGCACTTATTGCGAAAAATCATTGATTTAGAAGATAATATCTATCACCAACTTTCCACAGGTGTGAGTGCTTACTAAACTACAATGCATTCCTAAAATTCAAATATCTCCTAAACCAATGATTTTTCGCAATAAATGTCATAGTATTTTTATGAAGAGAATGACGCGTTGATATGCTTCATATGTCCTCGACGCGTTCACCTTCAAAAATGTGATCAATATCAGCTTACATGCACCCGAAAACGATTCAAATTTTGTTCGAAACATTTACTAATATCGTCGACGGTTTCGACAATATTTAACTGGATCGATTTAAATGAGTCGTCCAGTATAAAAATATCTATTCATGAATCAGTTGAATGGTGTTCCTTGTGACTGGAAGTTATAAAACAGCGTGATCTCGCTACATCGTCAACTCAGTTCCCGATCTCGCGTCGCGGCCGTTCTGTTCGATGCACGTTTGCCGAATCCAAGGAAAATAATCAACGACCAGCAAGGATCAGGTATCTCATTCGGCGACAATACATACAATTAGTGCTGAATACGATAGTCAGCATCGCAGATACAATCGTTGCTAGTGATTCTCAGACAAAGAAATTGGCAGTTCCAAAATGCAGAAGTTCTCACTGACGTGCCTCGTATTTACCATTGCCGCACTCATAATTGCGGAGTTCTCGAGTGGTCAACCTACGAATTTAAGCAAGCACAACGGAACGGAAATCGGAGGTGAATATTATACAGTAGGAAACGAAAGTATTCGA